TATAATTAATAATTTATTTAATAAAAAATTAATAAATAAATATTTTAAATAATTATTAATTTTTTGGCAAAATAGCATCATTTTTACACAAAAAATATTTATATAATATTACTAAATATTTTTTTTTAAAAAAAATATTTTTAAATTATTATAAATATTTTTAGGATAAATTTAAATATAAAATAAAAGCTAAATAGATATTATAATAAATAAAATATAATAATTATAATTTTAAAAATATTTATATCGCTGAAAAATTATAATTTTTAAAAATGTGACGATTAATATTTATTTATTTGTAAATAATTTATTATATATATTATTTTGAATAATTTATTTTAAAAAAAAATCATATAATCCAAAATTTACGAAAAAAATAAAAAAATAAAAAATAAAAAAGTAAAAAATAAAAAATAAAAAAATTAATTAATAAAATATATTAATAAATCTTATTGAAAGGATAAAAAAAAATTGTGAAAAAATTTTATTTTGTTTTAAAAATTTTATAATAATTAATTAAATATATATATTAAAGATATATTATAAATAAATATATATATATATATATAATATATATATATATATATATTTATTCATTTTTTATATATTTTTATGAATTTTTGTTATTTTTTATAATTACATTTTTCAATTATTTTCTTTTATAATTTTTATTATTTGTTATTGATAATTATTTTTTTTAAATAAAAGATACATCAAAATATAAATACTATTATATTAATAATATATACATATATATTCTATATAATATTTTTCAATATATATTATCAAATAATAAAATATATGAGAAAAATTACTATAATTTTTTTATTATTATCTAATTTCAGGAAATATTTACTAACAATTTATTATTTATTTAGATCTTATTAATCAATAATTATATATATTTTATAAGGTTTAAACTTTCATATTCTATTTTTTTATCGAATATGAAACTTATTGTATATTAATGGTTTTAGTTTAATATTTACATATTCTTTTTATATATTATTATTTAAAGTTAATACTATTCAAATAAGTCATTATTTTATATTTATGACATTTTTATCTGGGTTTTATTTTATCCAACTTTAAGGATTCATTAATATGGATTACTACTCTTTTTTTACAGAGTGTCTTTAAAATAAGATTTGTATGTTTCTTTTTGAATTTATTTTTATCAAAATTATATATTTGCAGATTATATTTTTTCATCAATTATTTGGATTATTTGTCATTTTTAGGATTATTGTTTGATAATTATTTTATAGAAAGTCGATTATATTTTATATGTTGAGTAGTATATTGTATTAATATCCAATAAGTTTGGTATCGGCATCAATTTATGAATGAAATTTCTATTTTGAATATTTATGTTTTCGTTTCTCATATCTCATGTTTTAATTTATTTGTTATATATATATATAATATTTTATTTTGGTTTAAGTTTTGTGGATCGTATAGATTTTTTTGTTAATTAAATAATAGTATTTTTATATATACGATCTTTATTTTTATTTTTTATAAATAAAACTAATTTAAAAGTAATAAAATTTTTTAAAAAAAAATATTTATACATTAATATATTTATATATATAATTATTATTTTAAATCTATTTTTAGATTTTTTTCATTAAAAAATAAAAATTATTATTTTTCATAAAATAATAAGATTTTTTTTTTTTCATTAAAAAAGATCAACAATGTTAGTTTTTTTAAAATTAGCATTCAAAACAACTAAATTTTTAGATTTATTTATAATTTAAGGTGAATTTTATTCTTCTTATTAGAAGTCTTATTCTGAGTTTTCAGTTAATAATGGATTTATTTTGCCAGCAGAATCCTCCATTTATTAATAGATATTAAATCTTATTAAATTATTTTTCGATTGTATTATTTCATTATTTTTAGAATATAAATTATTCTTAGTAATATTAGGATTTTTTTATTAATTTTCGTTATATTTTATTTAGTTTTTATTAAAGTCATAAATGACTTCATTTTATTATTAAGTAAAATTATTATTTTCATTATTTACTTTAAGTTAACTTACTCTATTACTATTTTATCTTATATCATTTTCTATTTTAGATATATCATTTTTATAAAATTCGCTTTGATAAGCAGTAGTATTTTTATATACGACATTATTTTTTTAAATATCATTATTCTTATATAAATCATTATTTTTGTATTAGTCATTATTTTTTTAATATTCATTAATTTTTTGTAAGTCATTGTTTTTATATTGGTCATGATTTTTATATGAGTCATTATTTTTTATAATTAAATCATTGTTTTTAGTATTTATTGGAGATATAGGAGAATATGATTCATTTTTGTTATTATGTGTGTAATTATTATTAAAATAATTGTTGTTCATGTCTCCAAGTAAATTTTGTTTATTTATTAGAGATTCTATGTTTAAATCTATTTATTTGTTGTTGTTTTTTGTTTATATGTTATTTGGAGTATTTTAAATTTACAGATTGTTTGCTTTAATATTATTTTCTTAATTTGTTTTTGTATAATTATTTTTTTGTTAATCTATAGTTTTTTAGTAATCAATATTTTTTTTATAGTCTATATTTTTTTAATAGTCTGTATTTTTATTAATTTCTGAATTTAATATAGGAATATTTTATTATGTATTATTATTTTTATTCAAAGAATTTTATTCATTATTTTAAAAATCAATTTAATTATTATTTTTATTTATATTTTCAATACTCAATTTAGTTAAATCTATATTATTTGTATTATTCTATATATTATTTTAGATGTTATATATATTTTTATTAATATTATCATTACTCATTTTAGTTTAATCTGTTGTATTAGAATATTAAAAGTTATTTATTTTATCATTACTCATTTTAGTTAAATCTACATTATTAATATATTAAAAACTATTTTTTTTTTAAGTTATCAATACTTGCTTTTGTTAAATTATCATTTGTATTATTTTTTTCATTAATTTTATTTATATCGATGGCTTTATTAAAATAAAGATTATTTTTTATAAATCTAATAAACTATTTTTTTATTATATATTATTATTAGTTTATAAAGTGCTTTATGCATCTGAATTTTAAATAAATTTATTTACTAAAGGCTAGTTGTTTTTAAATTCTGTAGTACTCAATAAAGAATCTAACGGAGAAAGTAATTATATTTAGTTATTGTTTATATTATTGAATTATAAATTATTTTTTTTAGATATTTTTCCTTCAGAATTAATTGAATTATAGGGCAATCTACCTTAATTTGAATCGATAAGACTTATTATTGCACTTTATGGTTATTTTTTAGTTTATTATAATTGAGCTTATGTATTGTTTTATATATTATATGCTTATTAATTCAAGTCTTTATTTGTAGATTTTTTTTCTAATAGTTAAATTTATTTATCTTTTTCTTAAATTTCTTATAAAGCTAATTATAATTAAGATTTTATATCTGCTTTTTCTTCTAAAAGTTCTATTTTTTCTAATTGTTATTTTTTATATTTTAACTATTTTTTTTATAAAATATGTATTTATTTTTTTTGTATTTTTTTTTACTTAAAATTCTAATTATTGTTATTTTCTATTATTCATTCTTAATAAAACAAATTTTATATTTTATTTTTATTCTTAATTTGTCTTTTATTTTTAAAAAATGAAATAAATAAAGTTAAATAATAAAAAAAATAGCAATACTGATAAAACTAATTTCATTTTATTTTTAATTTCTTCATTTTCTTTAATAGAACTTTAAATTTATTCCACTATATGTTACATATTTTAACTTTTTTAATATTAATCAAGCTATGCATAATCCTAAACTAAAATCTAATCGATTTCTTTTAAACTGCTCACCAATTAATAATTTTCTTCTATATTTTAATATAAATCATTACATAATCTATTTAAAAATTCTTCTTCACTATCTTAACAGTTTTCTAATTATTTTTCTATTTCTTTAATTTATTCTTCGACTTCTTTTCTTTCTAAATTTTAATTACTCACATTAATAATTGGTTGGTATCCAGTCATTTTCTCTTTATAAAAACAAACTTGTTTTTCCAAACTTTTTATATATTCCATTTATTCGAAACTACCATATTCTATTTAAATATTTTTAATTATTTTTCTTTTTATATTTGTAGCCCTTTATGCATATGTCAATGTATTTAAAGTCTCATCTATACATAAATAATTTTAAGAAATACACGCAATCATTATTGTTTTCGTGTTTCCACCTAATGAATCTTTCAAAATTCTAGTCAGTTTAGAATCTCTATATGGAATATGAGTTCCTGTAGCTTTTTTTCTATCAGATAATATGTTTATGCAATTTCCTAAGGCTAAAAGACTTTTATTTATATTAGAACCTTCTAATATTCCTTTTGCTATTTATTACTTTTTAGCTTTATTTTTTTTATTTTTACTGTATATTTTTTTTAAAAAAAAAAACTCAATAAAAATAAATAAAGACTAAAATTCATTTGGTATTTTTTTTTTCCCCCCCCTATTAAGTCTTTAAAAAAAAATAACATAAAAAATAAAAGAAAAACATAGTAAAAAATAATATATATATATATAATTATATTTATGTATATATATATTTTTTGTTAACCTTATTTATCTTATGTCATTTTTTCACTTCCTGCTAAATCTATAATTGTTAATTTAGAGAAAATTGTTTCTTCAGGCTTGGAGGCATCAGAGTTTAATTTTTATACTATATTAAATATTAGAATTGCATGGGAACGTGATGAAAATTAATTTCCAAATGTACAGGCTAATGA